TATTGATATAATATATATATATATATATATATATATATATATATATATATATATAGTCATCAACACGTGCACGGATGAATTATCCATAACATGCATTTAGAAAATAGATATTTTGATTTTCCAGTTCATGCCACTTTAAGTTTATGACCTTACATTTTATAGAACGGAATTTAAGATTAGGAACCCGCAAGTTTCCTGAGCAGACCAACACAGCAACATTGGCTTTTTAGGGCAGGATTATATTGTTTGTCGTTATTTATCACAGCATTTTGTGATGCTAGAGGCACTGAAATTACACACTTCAGCTTTAAACTCATCATACCACCAAATCAGCTTGAGTTAACTTGCCATCAAGTGCTTCTATGATACATCAAAAGTGTTCCGTCTCACATACATAATTTATGGCGTTACACAACAAAACTGACAGACAGCTGGTTGTTTGACCTCTTTACACAGAAAGATTCAAGCAACAACTCTTGCCCATGTTAATGATCAACACACACTCATAGCAGAACATGAACAGTAAGTGGAGATAATGGATAAATCATGTTTCAGTCTCAGGGGGAAACATAGAATGGATTCAGGTTCATGTAGAGCTACTTACTCTGCTTGCTGTTTTGCTGGTCTCTGTCCGGGACACCGTTTCAGACCGAAGCTGCTCTGACTCTAAATAAACATGTAAAACACATGTATAACCAGCAAGAACAATAACAGACACACAGCCTTTAAATGAAACAGTCAATCAAGATATAAAATGACTATAACTTAGTGATGGGCCACAATGGTCAACAAGACATTCAGTTTTTAGAAGTTAGTTTAGATAATTTTGAAGCCACTTCTTTAGCTAGCATGCATGCATTTTGTGCCCTTCCAATGTGCTCCATCCAACTGCATTTGAACAAGTGCAGATCCTATATGAGGTTGTAATTGTAAACACCTCTAATTGGGGTCAGGTGAACCCAAACAAGCCTAATCATTCATGGATTTGTTATTAATTGCCTAGTCATTCAGGCAACCCAAAGACTATTCTTATGTCAATGCTGCTCCTTACCAGAGTCCTTGTCATCGTCTTCCACACTCTCATCCTCTTCCTCACTGTCTGAATAGCGGCCTGCATCCCTTGTGCCGTTGACCATGTGCTGTGATGCCTGTTCTGAAGAATCCAGCAGCCTTTTCAGCTTCTTTTCATATAAAGCTCTAGTGGAAGCTGCTCAAAACACACACACAGACACCATATAAACATGCTGAATGTATTGCATCTTCAGTTTTGAAAGAAAGAGACTGTGACTCAAACAGACTAACCTACAATAGGTCCGGCTTTAACTCCATACCGGAGCAGTTTGGCTTTTAGCTGATCATCAGTCAGTAAGCCCAGGTCTACCATTTCTGCTGCCTCTTCTTTCTTGGCCTGTACGGTGAAATACACACACAACAAACTACTTAATAAAAAAGATTCTGTTGAGGCAGTGAAATTAAAGCGATTCATCATGGTGGAGTGTGGAATCAGCACATTTTAGCATAATCTAATAAACATACGCTGACACTAGCTTGCCAAAGGGTGAACCTCGGCTCACACAATCCTCAATAGACTCTTGTTTTGAGGCTTTCTCGCCTTTGCATCTTGCACTGACACGTTCTGAAAAGGGGTCACATCCAATATTAGCTGCTGTTGCAGTTTCCCAACCTCAGGCTGAAGAAGCGTCTTCACTTTTTAGCAGAATTGAGCAAGATTAAGGTGCACAGGAAAGACAGTGATTAAAGTGTCTAGATGGAAAGTCAACACATTCGTGACAAATTGAGAAAAAGTATAGAACAACTGAACAAAAATGAAAAAGAAAAAATGCTAATAGCTCAGAACAGAAGGCATTTATCTGAGCCATTTCATTGTAGCATTTAATCAGAAATCCCTTTAGCACTTTGTTCCTCAAACTTTCAGGCGGCAGACCACTTTAACTACAAAACAAATTGCAGACAACCTAATAGTCTCGTTTGCTAATAGCCTTCACTGATCCTGCCTTGAGCCACCAATAATATGCATGATTTTTCCAGCAAAAGAGCTATACAGCAGTTTTGTGCTCATATCACTGGAATGAACTAGACTGCTACTTTCAGCTAATGACCCTAAATGAGCCGACTGTTAGCTACATTACATACACTTGCATACACTGCAATAAAACAGATACACAGTCACATAAAACAGAAACACTTAAACAATATATGTACAGTATAATATATATGCACATACACATTATATAAAATAATACTAAAGTTTATATAATCTAATCAGGGATTGAAATTAACTTTTTCACTCACCAGCCAATTTGGCTACTACATTTTTAAGTTACCGGCCATTCATAACTTCTACTAGCCAAAAAAAATTAAAAATAAAAAAAGACAGAAATACACCAACAGTTTGAGGTTGTCTACACTGGGCGTGACAAAGCGACCGTTGCAAATCAGTTCGTCAGTACTAGGGGTGTGCGATATTGACAAAAAAATAATATCTCAATATTTTCTGTGATTTTATCGATAAAGGTAATTAGATGATATTTTGCTGAGTGTGTTATTTTGCTGATATCTTAAGGACTACCGTGGACAGCTGACTCCTAAAGTTTTTGATATTCTTCATATTCTGTGTGGTCAGTTCACAGCAGTGATAGAAAGTAATCTTTTCCAATAATTTTAAATTGATTTTTAACTTTTATGGGCATTCTTACCTTTATAAAGCCATTTTTTTCTAAAAGTGTACATCATATTTTGAGTCAAATTCTTACATTTAATCAGTCAATTATAATAATAATAATAATACATTTAGGCTGTTACTAAACAAATGAAATCAGTATCAATAAAATTAATCTTTGCAGAAGTTGCATATGAAGTGGCATTTAGATGCATTTACACATGTTAATGCAGCTTAGAAGGACATGGAATGCTTTAAACTGCAGTTTCAAATGCATAAATAATGTTTTGATATTTAAAACATGAAATGTTGAGTACTGATATTTGAAATTATTAAAAAAATTAAAAGATACTTTAAATGTGAAATTAAAACCGCCAGTAGGTGGCAGCAAGTCACTGTTAATAAGTGATTCATTGCGAATTAACCGAATCATTTAAACGGTTGATTCATTCAGGAACAAAACAGCGTCATGTTGCTCAGACGCAAAACAGTGCTGTGGCTGTGTTTGGAATGTTTTTTGTTGGAGAAATAGCACAGAAATAGCGCAAAAACAGCCAATATGGTGTTTAAAACGTAAGTCTCTAGATAGTAACTTATTGTTTATTGAACTGTTGTATAAAATAATTACATTTGTAACCATGCTGATTTTTTAAGAAAAATGTCAGTCTTCGTGTGATATTGATTAACTATATGAACTGATATAAATATATACATTTTCTGCCTCCTTATCTTGAAGTATGTGATCATTGTTAATGCATATTAATAGACTGAATCATGCAGTGAAAGAGCGCACTATAAAAGCGCACGCGCACTAAAGCCTGTGTTAGTCTAACCAGACTTCATCTCGTCGCGTATGCACGCCTCTGTAGGTGTGTTTTGTTTAGCTTTTGCAATATACTCGATAATGTCATGTCTCACGAGTTCAGTATTTGCGCTAAACCTGTGCAGATTTGACCTGCATGAACTTCCCCAAGAAATGAATGAGTGAACATAATTTAAGAAAAGTAACCCGCCAAATTGGTTAGTGACTTGAAAGCGTTACCCGCCACAGCTGATTTTTACACAGCTGGGTGTTAATTTCAAACCCTGAATCTAATATAGTATTTTATAATTTCAGTTTACCTTTTAATTTTTAGGTTTCCATAATTTTTAATATTTCTATTCAGCTTTAATTTATTTTTATTTCAGTTTTTTTTTTTTGCGATTTTAATGCTTTAACATATTTTCAGTTAGTTGCCAAGGCAACATTTCTAATTTTCATTTAAGTTCAAGTTTTTAAATCTAATATTTATATTTTAATTAATGGAAAAGATTTTAATATTTTTATTTATCAATACTGGTATGGTCGCAAACAGCTTGTCAATCTACAACATTATAATCAATTTAAACAACATGCATGTTGTGAGAAATCTTCTCAAATCTTAAACACACTATGTGCTGGTTTTTCTACAATTGCTCACCCTTCAGAAGGTTCCAAACATTAGTAATAGATTTAAAAGTGCTAGGTGTTTATGTTTTAAAAAATGGCAACTCATGAATCTGGCAAAGACATGCTACTTTCTAGTGCAACACAGCTTTGGTCATCACACATTAAACAGTTCTAATCATAAACTGAGAATTTGACACCCAGGTCCAAGATGGCTCTGACCCAGATTCCCCAGCCCCCTCTGAGGGCCCCCGGACCCACACACACACACACACACCTGCAGTGGTCTTACACATTGCCAGAGAGTGTGTGTGAGACAGCTGGAGCCCTATTCTACAACTCTGAGGAATCATGTTTCACTCTAAGGGAAAATAATAAAAATAATTCCCCATTTTGACAGAACAGTCTTTGATGTTTTGAGAAGCATGCGTGCTTTATCTGTATTTCACTGCAGTTGAGAGCTGACAGGCAATGACCTACAAACCTCCCAACAGCTTGAAAGCAAAGAACATATGGGTATGAATATTCACAGCACAAATAATATCTATTTCAATCACGCCACCTTGCGTCAAACTGTTGGATAGACAAGTGTGGATATGGAATATGTACATAGAGTATATATATATATATATATAAAGTTTTGGGGAATCCTTCAAACTCTGTATGCATGATGTGAAACATCTTGCTTATCAAAACACTGTCAAGGGCAGAAAGACAGTCTTCAGGAATGAATAACGTGACCTCCACAGCTGCTAAACTCACGCTGCCACTGAGATGATCCTCCTCTTCATCGCTAGAGAAATCTGTGCTGTTTGTCCTCACATATTTGCGATAAAGCTCCACATAAGCGTGTTTCTTGCTCTCCGGTGGAGGTAGATCCACATTATGCGCTATGAGCTTGTCTTTGGAGAACTCAGCGGGGTCTTCCACAAACACCGGCATGCCAGGTGTGGAAAGCCCATGCATTTGAAAGCACAGGCCCGGAGGAAAAGGTTTCCGATGTTCGGTCAATGAAACGTCGGCTTTATTTTCCAGAAGACTGTCTAAGTAGTGAGCTCACTAAGTTTTGAGTGTCCAACAGCCGTGTCACCCCCAGCAGCTGCTCACAGGGGTCTCCTTATATGCGAGAACAGCTCAGAAACGCCTCGACTCGTTCGCGTGGCCGTGAAAAATACTACAAACACGAATTTCCACGTTTAGATCAACAGAGAAGTCAAGGCAAACTATATACACGGACATTAATTCATATTTAGGGTGAATAACATAAGTGGGTTGCATATGTTAACTAGAAATCTACTAGTGTATTTTGGTCATGTGTATTAGCGTGCAAACAAGTGGCTTGTTTAACATGTGAATTAATGAATGAAGCCGATTATATTTACTAACTCGCCTTGCCAGAAACTGTTGTGCGATTTACTGTGGACAAAGTACACGGTGAAGCCGCTTTACCTGATTAGTATTTCAGTGTCTTCTTCTTCTTCTTCTTCTTCTTTTGGAGTTTTATGGCGGTTGGCAAACAAATATTTCAACGTCCACGCGCTGACCAGAAGTCCTCTGATGATGATTCATGACAACGTCACGGGTTGGAAGTTTTCCCGCCATTTCTTCAGTGAAATGGGAACTGCAAAAATATCATGTTTTTTGTATTTTAACCATAAAATAGATTTAAATCAAACATATGTAACGTGATAATGACCTGCTGACTGTACATTAGGCTATCCTGTTTTATCACACTAGACTAATACTTACCAAATAGGCCTAAATAAATACGTGAACTTAAAATACTGATATGAAATTATGTCTTACTTAGATTGACGTAAAGCTCACGAAAGAAAGTCCATTATCTATTCCATAGCCAATAAGCACATTAAAGTCAAATGATCAAAAACAGCAAACTGCTGCAGGGAGGACATTTTTGTAGGCCAAAACCCGGAAACAAGTTTTTAGCACTTTTTTTAAAAGCATTTTTAACCGTGGTTTTGCTACACTAAACATAGTTTAAATTTGTAGTAGAACTGTGGTTATGCAAATGGTAATCAATCTGCCAAAAGCATTGTTATTACACTTTTACTAAAAAACCATGGTTCATTTTCATAAGAGATTGTTCAGAAGTCAATGTACTTTTTAATTGAATGTTGATCACAACTTCCATTTTCATGCCAAAAAGGGCCTCTGGTATGTTGCCATGGTAAAATATCCAGTTGATTGGCCATACAAAATAATTTAACCATTCATTGCTGCAATAAGAATCAAGTATTCCAGAGATCCACAATTACAGTTTTCCCCTGGCAAGGCAAAAATTTGAATGATATAATCTGTATTTTACAGATAAAAGCTGCTTCAAAACTGCCTTTCAACAAACTGCAAATAATTTTCTTCTTCTTCACAGACTAGGTTTTCAATTCCATGCTGGCTATAGACTGCATTTTGGTTATTCACCAGACTTATATCTGCCTGATACATTACTCCAAATCACATTTTGGGCCCACTTTTTCAGCAAATGTCAAACCCACATGGGCCCCACACACAAATGTTGGCTGGGACATTAAAGTCAAATGATCAAAAACAGCAAACTGCTGCAGGGAGGACATTTTTGTAGACCAAAACCCGGAAACAAGTTTTTAGCACTTTTTTAAAAAGCATTTTTAACCGTGGTTTTGCTACACTAAACATAGTTTAAATTTGTAGTAGAACTGTGGTTATGCAAATGGTAATCAATCTGCCAAAAAAAAGCATTGTTATTACACTTTTACTAAAAAAACATGGTTAATTTTCATAAGAGATTGTTCAGAAGTCAATGTACTTTTTAATTGAATGTTGATCACAACTTCCATTTTCATGCCAAAAAGGGCCTCTGGTATGTTGCCATGGTAAAATATCCAGTTGATTGGCCATACAAAATAATTTAACCATTCATTGCTGCAATAAGAATCAAGTATTCCAGAGATCCACAATTACAGTTTTCCCCTGGCAAGGCAAAAATTTGAATGATATAATCTGTATTTTACAGATAAAAGCTGCTTCAAAACTGCCTTTCAACAAACTGCAAATAATTTTCTTCTTCTTCACAGACTAGGTTTTCAATTCCATGCTGGCTATAGACTGCATTTTGGTTATTCACCAGACTTATATCTGCCTGATACATTACTCCATAGGGCTTCTAGCAAAAGGATTATCGTGTACTACAAGCCACTTTAATAAGCTTCAAGAGTCCAGAAGGATCTGCCAACAGTAAACGTGCCCTGCATCACAACTGCGCTCTGTCTCCCTCATGTCACTGGCAGGCGCAGGCACAGATGCTGTGTATTTCACCACTAAGGTGCATCCCTAGTGGATGAACTCTGAGTCACTCCGCTTCTCTATTCTGGAAATGCAATGCTTTGCCTGTTGCCCAGATTAGTGGCATTAATTCGCTCATCAACATGCATAACCCACATCCCTCCCCCATCCCGTCTCTCAGTGTTTCTCTTTCTCATCTTTTTTTGTTTAATTTTTTTCTCTTTTCATTCTCAAATGAATGCATCTCTTCTCCCGGGAAACCATGATGCAAGGGAGGACAAATGTGAATATACTATCACCCCAATGCTCACCCAGACAGCCTGAGACTGGAGCAGCAAATTGCATGTTTAACATTCAAAACTGACACTCAGTTAAACAATAACACTGCTATCTATTTAGGCATTATTATGTTTTTCTTGTAAATGAAACATCTCAGCTCTCCTGTCCTGTTTAATAGCCCATGTTAGTCCAGTCAACAGACAATTGTGCCTGAACTCTGGATCTGGATAGCCTATATATTGGATTGATTATATCCACTGTTGATAAGCCACTCTGTACCTAATGGCTTTGAACCCTACATGAGACACCATATCAAAATCACATAGGAATAGAAAGCCATAAGGCACAGTAGTGTTGAGTTGAATCAGGCGAGCTGCACACATGTTTAGTTCTGAGGTGAAACCACCATGAGACTTGCCGTGTTTCCGTTTCCTTTTATTACGTGACTGTTTTTTCACAGCTAAACAGATTCTATTTAAACCACTTGAGCCAAGTTGCAGTTTGCAGAGAAGATTAAAGAGAGAAAAAAACTCACATCACCATGAATAATTAAACAAAAGCGAGATTATTATTCAGTTTTTCTGGCTTGGGAGGATTAAAGTGTTTGTATCTCATTGTTCTTTTTAAAGTTTCTCCTTGGGGGAAATTCTGGGATTTCTCTTGATTTATGTATGGGTTTACTTTTTTATTTCTTGCACTAAACCTTCTGTGAGTTCCTCATCGCACTTAAGTAGCGAGATGTGTTTTTGTCCATTAGTCTCCAAGAACATTCCAAACAGTCTTTGATGAGACACTGTAACGATGCCAAGAAATAAAAAGGTACAGCACTAATCAAAAGGCTTTTGTGATTTCCACAGTGGCCCTGGTGAATGCTTAGGGGATTATGTAAACATTCAATTTACAATTAGACTCCAGAAGTCTAGCTGACTTTCTGCCTCTGCCAAAAGACTTTTTACTTCACAGCTCAAGGGAGTTTAGCAGATCTGATTAATGAACACAATCTACGCATAAACAGTTAAGTAAACTTGCCATTCAGACACTAATGAAATGCCTGATGAAAATGGCACATTATAATCTGATTTTTGTTTTGAGCTCTGTGCTTGGTGCTGTGATTTATTCACACAAATAAATGGGTGTTTTGAGAATCCCAAAAGAAACACCAAAAAGTATTGCTAATGTTAATGTCTCCTCATATTAGAATTTATGCTTTAAATGATTATAATAAAAAACTGAATTAAAAAATGATTGGCTGTGCGTTCCAGATAGGCTGTGCATTAGTAGTGTGTATTTTACAGTGACTCTTTCTGCACTTTATATCTAGTGGGTGGCGTCAAGTGACTTGCTGGGTCCCAATGTGCCTACTTATTCTACGCCCTTAAAGTATGCACTTTGTTGGTGAGGAAAATGTACACACTTTTGAGTGTGTAGTAGAAGAGTAGGCAAGCTTTGGGACATACTATCACGTCATACAATTGCGTCTTTAATGGACATCGTCATTGAAAACTGGCCTGTCAATCATCTTGTCACAGTTAACATTCTCCACATTTCATTTAACTTCATACCGTACTGGAGTGAAATGAAGTAGCTCATTGATCTGCCAGCTGTAGATCTTTATGTGGAGAACTCTGCTCATATTTTCGGCATAATGACGCATTTAAAATTTAACGACCAAACAGATGTTTATAAAAGTTTACATTGCTGTTGCAGATGAAATATAACACAGATAACATTAAATAAATATATATATATATTTTTTTACCAGGTTAAATGTTGATTAGTAACTCAAACCCCTTTATCTAAACCTCTCTACTTAACTGTCGGTCGCGCACATCCACCATGTTTGTGGTTTTTTAAACGCTTTTTATTCGTGTTTGTAGTTCTCAACCGAATCATTCGTCAAAGCGCAATGGATTGTGGGTATTATTAGCTATTAGAGGGTGCACGGATCCACACTTCAAAAATCGACCTGAAATAGTAGACCATCCGGGGACTTTTGGCATACACTTTTCAACATACTATGCTTTGGGACACACTTATTCTAATGTCACATAGTTTTTAGGATGGATAGTATGCATCTAGGAGGAGGAGTCTCTATGTGCTGAGAATTAACTGATTTCTGTGATGTGAGGCGGCTAGCAGACGGGTGGTTTAACCAGTCTGTCTGCTTCCTGACCTGGGCCCCAGTTTGTCAAGTATGAATTCTAAGACTATGTGCCATATTTCTAGAGAGAAGAGCAGCACCACCCCAGGAGAGATGAAGACCATCTCTTTTCAACAGGTTAGGTCTGCCCCAAAAACTTGTCCAATTGTCTACGAAACCTATGTTATTCTGGGGTACCACTTAGACATCCAGCCATTGAGTGACAACAGTCTGCTGAATTGAAAATAAAAAAAATAAATAAAAACAAATTCAAAATATTAATAAAACCTTTAATAGTACATCTCAGAGATACTAAAACATTACTCAATCTAACATAATCTAAGACTGCTCAATTACTTAAACATTGTATGCTTTATTAATTTCATTTATTTGTGCTTTTTTTATTTGATTGTAAAGGAAACAGAATCGTTTCAAAACACTCTTTCATTTGTTGTAGTGTTTATGAATATGCTGATGTATTTATTTTATTATTATTTTAATTTTAAGCTTTAGTGATTTTAATGTGCTTTATTGTTATTAGTTTTTTTTTAGTACTTTAGTTTGTTTCTTAGAAGTTTTTAGCTTTATTTCAGTTACCAAAAAAGTAATAGCTTTAGTTAACAGTAACAACATGAGTTTTTTTTTTTTAAACAATAAAAAAAATATCCAGATTCTTCCCAAACTCATTTAAATGCACAATGTTATTTTAGGATCGATATAATATTATAGTTTTTTTTTTTTTTTTTTTTTAAGTAGTTTTTAAAAAAAAAAAATTTCATTTTATTTATTTATTTTTGTCAATTAAAATGAAAATGTTAGAATGTGATGCTGTTAAACATCATGTCAGAGATTACAAGTCGTGTGTTTTGTGTTCAGGTAGGCAGTCGCGGGATTGAGGCATCGTGGGCCGGCGGGATCCGTGGCAGAGAGGTGATGGACCGATTCTTTCCCATGATTCCACAGCTGCTGTCCGATCATGGCCTTTTTTATCTGGTGACCGTGTCAGAGAATGATCCAGGTTTGTGTTTGTGATGTTCACATTTGCATTCACATCAGTATCTTCAACAGTTTTTGAACTGGACTCGTGTTTTTCTTTTCTAGAAGAGATTGTGGATTTGTTGGGGAAATCAGGACTGAATGGTCACAAGTGTTTGTCACGTCAGGCTGGACGAGAGAGACTTTCTATACTGCGATTCAGTAAGTCCTGAATAGCAGATGACCATCAGCACATGAAGACTGTGAAACACACGTGATGTCCAGCTGTTTCTCACCCCAAGGGTTTCTGGGTTTACAAGTGTTATTATAAAAATCAAGCTGATGTTTTGAGGTTCGTCCCGCTGCTGAACCATCAGTAATTCAGGCTGCGTTTGTTTGCATAAAGTCTGCTGCAGCTCAACAACTGGGTCACAAGGACCTAGTTAGTGATTCCTAACGGATTGACGGGCATATTTACAGCACGAGTCCATCAGCTGAGCCGTTTATCATGTTGATCGTGTCGGATTCCCGCTGCTTCAGTTTCATTCCATCAGTTACACTCTGACTGGCTGTTTTTGAGCAGCGCATGTTCACTATGGAGTGTTAAATGCTGTTACTGACCCGCACTGAAATCCAGAGTGTCAGAATACCACTGCCATCAATCACAATCTTATATATATATATATATATAAAGTTTTGGGGAATCCTTCAAACTCTGTATGCATGATGTGAAACATCTTGCTTATCAAAACACTGTCAAGGGCAGAAAGACAGTCTTCAGGAATGAATAACGTGACCTCCACAGCTGCTAAACTCACGCTGCCACTGAGATGATCCTCCTCTTCATCGCTAGAGAAATCTGTGCTGTTTGTCCTCACATATTTGCGATAAAGCTCCACATAAGCGTGTTTCTTGCTCTCCGGTGGAGGTAGATCCACATTATGCGCTATGAGCTTGTCTTTGGAGAACTCAGCGGGGTCTTCCACAAACACCGGCATGCCAGGTGTGGAAAGCCCATGCATTTGAAAGCACAGGCCCGGAGGAAAAGGTTTCCGATGTTCGGTCAATGAAACGTCGGCTTTATTTTCCAGAAGACTGTCTAAGTAGTGAGCTCACTAAGTTTTGAGTGTCCAACAGCCGTGTCACCCCCAGCAGCTGCTCACAGGGGTCTCCTTATATGCGAGAACAGCTCAGAAACGCCTCGACTCGTTCGCGTGGCCGTGAAAAATACTACAAACACGAATTTCCACGTTTAGATCAACAGAGAAGTCAAGGCAAACTATATACACGGACATTAATTCATATTTAGGGTGAATAACATATGTTAACTAGAAATCTACTAGTATATTTTGGTCATGTGTATTAGCGTGCAAACAAGTGGCTTGTTTAACATGTGAATTAATGAATGAAGCCGATTATATTTACTAACTCGCCTTGCCAGAAACTGTTGTGCGATTTACTGTGGACAAAGTACACGGTGAAGCCGCTTTACCTGATTAGTATTTCAGTGTCTTCTTCTTCTTCTTCTTCTTCTTCTTTTGGAGTTTTATGGCGGTTGGCAAACAAATATTTCAACGTCCACGCGCTGACCAGAAGTCCTCTGATGATGATTCATGACAACGTCACGGGTTGGAAGTTTTCCCGCCATTTCTTCAGTGAAATGGGAACTGCAAAAATATCATGTTTTTTTGTATTTTAACCATAAAATAGATTTAAATCAAACATATGTAACGTGATAATGACCTGCTGACTGTACATTAGGCTATCCTGTTTTATCACACTAGACTAATACTTACCAAATAGGCCTAAATAAATACGTGAACTTAAAATACTGATATGAAATTATGTCTTACTTAGATTGACGTAAAGCTCACGAAAGAAAGTCCATTATCTATTCCATAGCCAATAAGCACATTAAAGTCAAATGATCAAAAACAGCAAACTGCTGCAGGGAGGACATTTTTGTAGGCCAAAACCCGGAAACAAGTTTTTAGCACTTTTTTAAAAAGCATTTTTAACCGTGGTTTTGCTACACTAAACATAGTTTAAATTTGTAGTAGAACTGTGGTTATGCAAATGGTAATCAATCTGCCAAAAGCATTGTTATTACACTTTTACTAAAAAAACATGGTTAATTTTCATAAGAGATTGTTCAGAAGTCAATGTACTTTTTAATTGAATGTTGATCACAACTTCCATTTTCATGCCAAAAAGGGCCTCTGGTATGTTGCCATGGTAAAATATCCAGTTGATTGGCCATACAAAATAATTTAACCATTCATTGCTGCAATAAGAATCAAGTATTCCAGAGATCCACAATTACAGTTTTCCCCTGGCAAGGCAAAAATTTGAATGATATAATCTGTATTTTACAGATAAAAGCTGCTTCAAAACTGCCTTTCAACAAACTGCAAATAATTTTCTTCTTCTTCACAGACTAGGTTTTCAATTCCATGCTGGCTATAGACTGCATTTTGGTTCTTCACCAGACTTATATCTGCCTGATACATTACTCCGTAGGGCTTCTAGCAAAAGGATTATCGTGTACTACAAGCCACTTTAATAAGCTTCAAGAGTCCAGAAGGATCTGCCAACAGTAAACGTGCCCTGCATCACAACTGCGCTCTGTCTCCCTCATGTCACTGGCAGGCGCAGGCACAGATGCTGTGTATTTCACCACTAAGGTGCATCCCTAGTGGATGAACTCTGAGTCACTCCGCTTCTCTATTCTGGAAATGCAATGCTTTGCCTGTTGCCCAGATTAGTGGCATTAATTCGCTCATCAACATGCATAACCCACATCCCTCCCCCCATCCCGTCTCTCAGTGTTTCTCTTTCTCATCTTTTTTTGTTTAATTTTTTTCTCTTTTCATTCTCAAATGAATGCATCTCTTCTCCCGGGAAACCATGATGCAAGGGAGGACAAATGTGAATATACTATCACCCCAATGCTCACCCAGACAGCCTGAGACTGGAGCAGCAAATTGCATGTTTAACATTCAAAACTGACACTCAGTTAAACAATAACACTGCTATCTATTTAGGCATTATTATGTTTTTCTTGTAAATGAAACATCTCAGCTCTCCTGTCCTGTTTAATAGCCCATGTTAGTCCAGTCAACAGACAATTGTGCCTGAACTCTGGATCTGGATAGCCTATATATTGGATTGATTATATCCACTGTTGATAAGCCACTCTGTACCTAATGGCTTTGAACCCTACATGAGACACCATATCAAAATCACATAGGAATAGAAAGCCATAAGGCACAGTAGTGTTGAGTTGAATCAGGCGAGCTGCACACATGTTTAGTTCTGAGGTGAAACCACCATGAGACTTGCCGTGTTTCCGTTTCCTTTTATTACGTGACTGTTTTTTCACAGCTAAACAGATTCTATTTAAACCACTTGAGCCAAGTTGCAGTTTGCAGAGAAGATTAAAGAGAGAAAAAAACTCACATCACCATGAATAATTAAACAAAAGCGAGATTATTATTCAGTTTTTCTGGCTTGGGAGGATTAAAGTGTTTGTATCTCATTGTTCTTTTTAAAGTTTCTCCTTGGGGGAAATTCTGGGATTTCTCTTGATTTATGTATGGGTTTACTTTTTTATTTCTTGCACTAAACCTTCTGTGAGTTCCTCATCGCACTTAAGTAGCGAGATGTGTTTTTGTCCATTAGTCTCCAAGAACATTCCAAACAGTCTTTGATGAGACACTGTAACGATGCCAAGAAATAAAAAGGTACAGCACTAATCAAAAGGCTTTTGTGATTTCCACAGTGGCCCTGGTGAATGCTTAGGGGATTATGTAAACATTCAATTTACAATTAGACTCCAGAAGTCTAGCTGACTTTCTGCCTCTGCCAAAAGACTTTTTACTTCACAGCTCAAGGGAGTTTAGCAGATCTGATTAATGAACACAATCTACGCATAAACAGTTAAGTAAACTTGCCATTCAGACACTAATGAAATGCCTGATGAAAATGGCACATTATAATCTGATTTTTGTTTTGAGCTCTGTGCTTGGTGCTGTGATTTATTCACACAAATAAATGGGTGTTTTGAGAATCCCAAAAGAAACACCAAAAAGTATTGCTAATGTTAATGTCTCCTCATATTAGAATTTATGCTTTAAATGATTATAATAAAAAACTGAATTAAAAAATGATTGGCTGTGCGTTCCAGATAGGCTGTGCATTAGTAGTGTGTATTTTACAGTGACTCTTTCTGCACTTTATATCTAGTGGGTGGCGTCAAGTGACTTGCTGGGTCCCAATGTGCCTACTTATTCTACGCCCTTAAAGTATGCACTTTGTTGGTGAGGAAAATGTACACACTTTTGAGTGTGTAGTAGAAGAGTAGGCAAGCTTTGGGACATACTATCACGTCATACAATTGCGTCTTTAATGGACATCGTCATTGAAAACTGGCCTGTCAATCATCTTGTCACAGTTAACATTCTCCACATTTCATTTAACTTCATACCGTACTGGAGTGAAATGAAGTAGCTCATTGATCTGCCAGCTGTAGATCTTTATGTGGAGAACTCTGCTCATATTTTCGGCATAATGACGCATTTAAAATTTAACGACCAAACAGATGTTTATAAAAGTTTACATTGCTGTTGCAGATGAAATATAACACAGATAACATTAAATAAATATATATATATATTTTTTTTACCAGGTTAAATGTTGATTAGTAACTCAAACCCCTTTATCTAAACCTCTCTACTTAACTGTCGGTCGCGCACATCCACCATGTTTGTGGTTTTTTAAACGCTTTTTATTCGTGTTTGTAGTTCTCAACCGAATCATTCGTCAAAGCGCAATGGATTGTGGGTATTATTAGCTATTAGAGGGTGCACGGATCCACACTTCAAAAATCGACCTGAAATAGTAGACCATCCGGGGACTTTTGGCATACACTTTTCAACATACTATGCTTTGGGACACACTTATTCTAATGTCACATAGTTTTTAGGATGGATAGTATGAACATTGGGACGCAGGGTATGTTTTTAAGAATTCAGCAACTGTTCAATTCAGGAAGGAAACAAACGACTCTTTATGAGTGAGTCATTGCATCACACCCACAATTGATTTGTTCAAAACACTGATTCATTCAGGACAAAACAAGTGACACTTCATGAGTGAGTCATTAATTCATTCACTTAACTGAACTGATTTTTTCCAAATAATGATTCATTCAGGAATGGAACAAGTGACTCTTTACGACATTGAGTCATTGAATAATTTCCTCAACTGATTGGTTCAAAAACACTGATTCATTCAGCAATGTCACTACTGTCTGATTATGGAAGACAAGCTACATTCAAGCAAAATACAGACAAACTAACTGGTGTCTAAAATGTAAGTTATTCGGTATTTTCTTCTTGTTTATTGAACTGCTCTATAAAGGCAATGTCAGACTCGCACTTGTGCTGAGGGGTCTGAAAATCAGCGCGGTTGTCAATATCTGACTGCGACAATTAAGTAAGTTCTTGGCAAAGACTAAAAATGCTGGCAAAACAAATATTTATATGAATGCTAGCATCATATTTCCACAACATTTATTAGTTCAGAATAATACAGTTGCTTATTTTCTGTGAATCTCATATTCTGTGTTGCAGATGGTCAGTTTTGATGGTTGCATCTCT